ATTACCCTTCTCCAGTACGCTGTGGTGGGTGTATGTAAGACTTCTCTTTGGGAGTAAAGTCCATAGCACGCGGTTCTTTGGTTGCAGACGATGAATTGGTCTTCCGGAGGTGGCTCCTGGGCGGGGTTCGTAAACTCAAGCCTCAGTACACCGATTCCTCAATCCAGCTGCTTAGGTGCGGTTGACTGTACTGCAATAGTACGGCGATCTAGCAGCCAGGGTATATGTGATTGATGATAAAAGAAAAGAAGGGAACAACTTTTCCAATATTCTTGAGCTAACACATCCCTCTCCAACGGCAACGAATTCAGATCGAGGCGTCAAATGAGATATAATTTTTACAATGTTAATATCCATTCTGGATAATTGTATTCATCTTCACCATTGTCGGCGCAAGCATGGATGCCTAGCGTCGACACGTGGCAATGAATCTTTTCATACATAATTATACAATAACTTAATACTATACAGGATGGATTAGTATGATATATCCAATCAACTGTAATGGATAACATAATGGCTAATAACTATCCAGTGGCCACATCACCATCCATACGATGGGATGAAGTCTAGATAATCAAAACTCAAAATGGCCGACACGTGTCCTATGATGAAGGCACGCGTCAAACATTGAGAAAATATAAAGTACAAATGAATTAATTAAATTCATTCCGACCAGAAATTAATTCTAATCACAATGATAATGCATACATTACACATTAAATGGTTAACTCACTATGTACATGGTCATACAAATACCGTATTCAAATAAAGAAATGACATCGAAATGTTCATACAACTCCCTAGGTCTAGAAAAATCCGACCTTACGGTGCTCTAAGTTGGCTGCTTTCTTAAAAGTCGATCTCGAAAAGAAAGATTTTAGTTACGCAACGGCCTTTTATGATGATTACATTCTAATTGCTTACTAGACAATCACTACCCTGTGATGTCCGAGGCCAATGATCTTAATAATTTGATGCGTGGCGTATTCGCTCACCCAAAAAGAGATGTTGAGCAGCGTTTGCTTTCTTGACCCTTTTCTTGGTTCGATTCTTGGTTTAGCCCTCAAATACTTAACAGTTCATTGACTTTTCGTGTGAGGCAGACAGTGATCAGGGGAAATTTTTCCAATTATTAACCCCCCACCCAACAACCCCCGTCATGGTCTTGAAAAAAAAAAAAAGGGGGTGGGGCTTCTAAGTAGGTCGTCGTGAGAACATGGACATTTTCATGTCGGCTCTTTTTCGTCACACGCAGACATCTTTGATGGAAGCTGTTGAGTTTCCGCTCCTGACTGGTATATGTGGTCCACACTTCGCTACCACATAGGAGCGTAAGTACTAAGCACACATGCCTGATTGACATTTCCTTTTGTTTTATCAGTTAGATTTAGATTATTCCACACCCACTTATTCAGTTTAGTCATAGTTGCTGCTGCTTTTGCGATCCTGATATTTATCTCTTCATCAACGGAGAGAGAACTAGAAATATTGGATCCAAGGTATGTGAAATGCTCAACAACCGAAAGATTATGACCCTCAATAGATATGATTGGAGGGGACGGTGCTTCTTGCATCATTACATGTGTTTTCTGTAGACTAATCGAAAGTCCAAACTCTTTACAAGGCATGTGATAGACGATTAACCAGCCCCTGCATGTAGACCTTCTTCTGTGTGAGATGTTAAGGCGGCATCGTCAGGGAACAGCAGTTCACGAATCAGCATCTTTTTTTACTTTGGTCTTTGCACGAAGGCGGGTGATATTGAACAGCCTACCATCAGATCTGGTATGGACGTATGCTCCATCTTCACAGTCCCTGAAGGCAAATTGAAGGAACATCGAAAAGAAAATGGAGAAGAGCGTTGGTGCCAGTATACAGCCCTGTTTTACTCCGCTGCTGACTGGGAATGCCTCAGAGACAGCGCCATTGAAAGTTACTGTGCTGTGCATGTTTTTATGAAATGACTGTATGATTGTGAGCAGTCGTGGGGGACAACCTATTCTTTGCAAGATACTGAAAAGGCCTCTCCGACTTGAAAGCAATTAAAGAGGCATATTCTGTTCAAGACATTTCTCCTGCATTTGGCGTAACGAGAATATCATGTCTATTGTTGAGCGCCCACTCTTGGAAGCCACACTGGGACTCTGGGTAGATGCGGTTCGCCAGACTCTGCAATCGTTTATGGGCTACACGGGCAAAAGTCTTTCCAACTGAGCCGAGGAGAGAAATTCCTCGGTAGCTTTTGCAATACTTCGGTCCCCTTTATTTTTATACAATGTTACGATGTTGGCGTCTCTCATGTCCAAGGGAATGTGACCTGTTTCACAACACAGACATAGGAGCTCATGTAAGGGCTGAAGTAGAATAGGTTTTCCATTTTTGAGGACTTCCGCTGGAATGCCGTCAATCCCAGGTGCCTTCCCATAAGCAAGGTAATCAATGGCTTTTTCGAACTCCTATAAAGTTGGCTCTTCATCCATTTCTTCCATTACCGACAACACGGGAATATTATTCAGAGCGGTCTCAGTGACTACATTCATTGTTGATTATAGTTCAAGATAATGCTCTACATAACGCCAGAGTTGATCATTTAGGTTCTGGATAATTTGACCTGTCTTGGAATTGTTGATATGATTAATACGCGAACAATATCAGTCAGTTGAACTTAAGTTAGTAAACTATTAATCTTGTGTGTTAAATGATTGAATTTGAATCAGGGGCCATTCATAAATGAAGTCACGCAAATTTTTCCAATTATTAACCCCCCACCCAACAACCCCCGTTTTTAAAAAAAAAAAAGCTAGACCCCATCTCAAATTTAACGCCAAAAACCTTGCACACCCTAAAAAAAATTTGTCCACTACTGTACTTTACAAATCCCTTAAAAAATTACATCCCATGGATTTCCCTAGAATAGAGTTTCTTAACCAGGGGTGAACGCATCCCATGTGGTGTTGAAGACCCAGAAAATAAATAGCATTTGCATAGAATCTCTGCCCTGGAACACTCATTAAGATAACCACCTCCCCTCCCAGTCAACCATTTTTCATTCCATCTCACTTATCGTGGTACCCGTAATGCTTATTTCATACGATCAATTTTCGTCAAATTTGCTTCAAATTTCTTTTTGAACGCGCTATTTAGTAAAAAAAAAATAATGCTTTAAAAAGAAATTTGAAAACAAATTGACGAAAATTTGGTCATGTGATAAATGAACATAATTCTGTGACACCCGTCTTCAAAATTGCGACATAAATTCTCATGATTGTCAAATTCCGTCTCCGGAAATTTGATCGAGAGAAATTTCGTCGACAGTAAATTGATCGACGGTAATTTGATCGAACGGAAATTTGGTCGAATCTTTTTTTTCTTCTGTTTTTATGTTAAAATTTTGCTTCAAATTTCTTTTTTAACGCATTATATTGTTTTACTATATAGTAAAGAAATTTGACAAAAATTTAACGTGTGAACTGAAAAAAAGATTTCGATCAAATTTCCGGTATTCGTCAAATTCACTACACCTCGATTCTCCTCCATGGCGTCTTGTAGAATAGTAGTTACTATCCTAGTGTCTCATTTGTATTTACTTAGTTTACATGTTTTAATAATTGTAAAGCGCTTAGAGCTTTATGATAAGCGCTATATACTATATAAAAATGCCTAAATAAATAAATAAATAAATAAGTTCACCAGATGCTGTTACTCGGAGCTCGCATATCCTATCCATTCTGATTCTCACAGTAATCGTAGTTCAACAATACAATGTAAAAACCGCTAAAAGCCCTTTATAAAATATAATCTCGAGCTATTTGAAAAAAGGGGGGGGGGTGTTGAGAATTTGATAAAACATGCATTCCAGTATCGCACCCAATTAGTCCCCCACCCCCACCTTTTTTTTTCCCCAAGCCAGGCAAGCACAAATTTTTTGTAACCCCCCTGAACTATAGGCCTATTGATACTCTTAATGACCCACCCGCAGATTTTTTTCACGAACTATTTCAGAAATTCAGAAATACAAAAGAAAATATTACGCACAAAACCCACTTGCAATATTTATATTTAAACAAATCTAATTTATCGGAACTTTTATTTCGCGAAATCAAATTTCCTGCGTGTTCGCCTTGAACAATAGGAAAAAAAATAAAGAACGATTTTTGCTGCTTGGAACTGAACATTTTATAGAATCTGTTGTCATCGGAAACGAGTCTATGTGCCCAGTTTCAGCTCGAGAGGTTGACGGGAAGTGGGTCATTAAGCCGTCCGAACATTTTGCCAGCCAGCTAGCCACACCCGAATAAAAGCTAAGTTAACTTAATATAAATTATTAATAATAATAATTATAGTTTGGTAAAAAAACGGGGACGAATGCCACTATTAAATCGATCCGTATGCCTATGCCTAACCTGAACCCTAAATCGATCCCTATGCCTAACTTGAACCCTAAATCGATCTCTCAACCTAACCTAAACCCTATTTCACTGCAACTATAATAAACACACAAAAGACGCCGTGGCAGCCGTCCTCAGTTTTAGCGGCATTTAGCCTATAGTTTTTTTTATAAAAGAAATATTCCTCTTGGAACTATATTTCAGCTAGGTGTTATTGTTATTTAATTCAGTTTTTACTGTTGTTTTTTCGCCGTTGAAGGTTTCTTTTTTCAGGTTTTCCCATTTATTGTTTTGCTCATTCTCATTAAGGCCCCTAACCCTCGTCAGAAAAATGTGACACCCCTCACCCTCCACCTCTTGACGCGTGACGTCATTTATGGATAGCCCCTCAGTTCAAGCTACATAATATTTTTAACTTTAATAAGTAAGTCACTAAGTCACTTAAACATTTATTATCCTCCCACCCCCCCCCCATTTTTTTAAAACCATTATTTATAGTTATAGTAACAAAAATAGTTTCAAATTAAGTCCAACTGTTACTGTCATGAAAAATAAAAGTTTAAAAATAATATATTATCCCGAGTCTAGGAAGATGCCAAAGTCAAGGTCAAGATTTTTGCATTTTCCTTTCCAGGGTAAAAGTTCATAAACAACTGTAGCTATCACGTATTTCTTCTACCAATGCTTTTGTTTGCCGAGTCTGAAAAAAAAAAAAAGTTTTCTTGAGAAACCCTGAGCATATATTTCTAAAGAAAAATGTTTAAAGCAATAAATAGACCTGGTCCAGCTTGTTTAATGGCATTCACGGGTCGTAAAACTATCATTTCAACACTAACCAGACAAACGAAAACATCTGCTGCTGGGACTGCGAATTTGAGGTCACACTCGCATCAATCTCAATCGTTGAAAACTTGCCTGGGATTTGTGAGTTTGGGTCGACTTTCCACTAATTTGGTGCATCTTCCACAAAATGTTAGCAGAAGACTGTACAGTCCTATCGTTGAAGGTCAGTATTATTGGTGCGGCTATTCGGACCCGGGAGTTTGAGTTAGAGGTTGGGTAGGCTGGGTTTATTTTAAAAATATAAAAAAAAACATTATATTATATTATTATTGTAGTTGTAGGGTTTGTAAGAAAAAATACAGTATCAAATGAAAAATAACCGAATGGACTATACTGTATATTTGTAAACTTACATCTTCAGTGTTCAGTTTAATTAACATAAACTACCACAAATGACATCCGAATAGCATTAAATTTAAGTCTAAGTCCTAAGTCTAAAGGGACCGGGGTACACTTAGCAGCTAATGGGACCCGGGTCCCTCTAGACTTAGACTAGGCGAAATGCTATATTATTCTGATGTTGATGTCATTTGTGATGTTTCAATATTCATTCATTTGATACCAAATTTTGTCTTACAAACCCCACAATAATATTTGAAATATTTTTTAATCCCAACCTCTCACTTCTGATACCTGGCACGAATAGCCACTTTGCAGTATTATTCTAGATTTTAGCTATCCAATAGTAGCTAAGGCTAAGGCTAAGTTACTAATAATATAATAAGTTAATTTATTAAGCCTAGCTCTTCTCTACTTCTACCTACCTCTACACTACTGCTACTAAATTTAAATAACTTGAATTTTAATTACTAAGTCCACAAAGCTTACTTATACTACTTACTAAGGCTAATATTAATAAGACTTCAATCTTTATCTACTAATAACTAATATAAGTATAAGCCTATACACTATACTAATGTCTAAACTTACATATATATACTATAATAATAATTGAAGCCTAGAGCCATTGTCTATAATCTATAATAATATAACTATCCTATAGTTATAGACAGTATAGGCTTATATTTATTTATTATTAGAAGTCAGAAGTCTTGGCTATTACTATTATAATTATAGTTTAGGTGATGTCTACAATTTTACATACTACATACACACAGATGAAAGATAATCTCATATGTGGCATTGTATGCCAAACATTTACTTAAACATTTGAGCAGTGAGTCTGCCAGGATCCATGGCCTGTCTGCCATTGCCGTAGTTGCTTTCTCGCATGTTCGAGCAACTTAATTTCTAGTGAGCACACAAATTAATTTTGTTATACTGGACTCAGTCTCAAGGAAAAAAATCCCTTGAACTGAAATATTTGAATGGATTTCTTGTTCTAAGAAATTATCAAAGTTTTTGTTTCTCCAGAGGGTATTTCAACACATAAACCAACACCCTTTCAACAGAGAATTTTGGTATGGGGACATTTTTATCCATCTCTTGACAAAGTACCTGAGCGAGTGTCGTAAGTAAATTTTTCCAACATGGTTATTTTTTAAATTTTTAGATAAAATTTATGGGAGCATCCAATGCCTGTCACAGCAGCACAATGTTTAAACACAAGTAACAATTAATAATTGGTTCACGTTTTGTGGGACTGTGTTTTTGTGTGGAGATTATTTGTTTAGCTATTGCTATGTGCTTTGTATTAGGGTATGAGAGATGACATTGTCGGTTGTTATGGTTTTAGTAGTAAGTGGCAGAGAGAGAAAGCAGATGAAAGAAGACACATTGTTTTTAAATAAAGAACCAAATGTATCATTGAACATGGATTTGTTTAATAATTACTCTTAGACATAACCAAGCAATTGAACTGCTTATCTAGTTAGCAGTTCATAACAGTCACCACTCAAGGAAAAAGAGGAACTAAACTAGTTTCTTTCTTTCTTCTCATAGCAAAACATGGAGTTAGATCATCTACTACTTTGTGACACTTAATCTTTTGTGTTTTTCAGGAGGGCTCAGATGAAGAAAGCTATGGACAAATTTCGAGTTAAGGTTTCCATCTACATGGCTGCTATGACTGCAATCTGTGCTGCTGTAATGGCCTTTATTGGCCGTAGAGAAAGACAGCAAGGAAAAAGTGTAACAAAAATGAACTTGGATAAGCATGCAAAAGATTCATCTGAAAGTGATGTCTAATTATATTTCTTTTTGTTAGATCTCTGGTGTGAGCTATGGAAAAAAGAATGAATTTACATTTAGATCAGTGTGCCTACAAAATTGATATTATTAATTATTCATGTATTTCTATGGTAATAATAGTAAGATTTCAGTAGAATTCTGAATACATCATAATACATAAAAAACCTAATTGAATTGAAAATATATATTTGAAACTGATAAAATTAATATAAATATCATGTCACACCGCACTGTTGATATCGCTGTTTGGTTACTAACTTAAATTTTCAGACCACGTTTCTCCACGACATGAATATTATTATTTGGTGAACCATTATTCTATATTTTTTTGCACTTAAAGTTAAATTAAGGGCTGTGTATCATATGGGTAAAATGACATCAACTGCAGTTTTATGAAGAACTATATATAAATTTTTAGGTAAATATGAGCTTGCGTTTATTCTCCTAATGCCTGTCTTAAACATCTATTTATATTTAAATTAAATTTTAGATGATGTGATTCTGAGTAAAGTTAAATGATTGTGTAATGTGACAATTGAAGTTATGAGAGTGAAATGAGTGAACATTTGTTATTGTGGTATTTATTAGGGAAATATTATTTAGCATTGTTTTTATGTTAAATAATATTTAATCTGTTTATTTTGTAAATTAAAAATCTCTCATAGTTTGAGAGACAATTTAAAAATTATTGCTGCATTATGTTTTTAAAAAGATAATAAATAAAAATATGCTTTGTTTCTATTTTTCTATAAAATCTTTTCTCATTTATATTTTAAAAAAAGAAAGAAGTGTATTATGTACCGGTATCGACAGAGTACTTTACACTTAAATAAATATGCATTATATATTTATAATTTAATATAATGCCTCTTATGTGCGTGCATACATATTTGAAAATATAACTAAAATTAACATTTTTACCAATGGATATATTTGAAAGAATCTTTTCAAAGGTAATTTTACAGACTTTTTTGGAAATTTTAAATTGAGGTGATTAATAATAGTTAAGAAAATACAGAAGTAATAAACTCAATGAAAAAATACAAAGCTCAATGGAGAAGACCTCATCACAGCAGAACTTATTAAATATGGAGGAAGATAACTACACTCAGACACAAACTTTTAACTACAAGTTGGCAAGAAGAGAAAATTCCAACAGAATGGGAAACAGCACTAATAAACCCAATACATGAAAAAGGTGCCAACCTCAGTGCACAAAATACAGAGGAATTTCCCTATTAAATGTTAAATACAAAATACTGACAAAACTAATTGCCAAAAGACTACAACCATACACCAAAATACTAGGTGATTACCAATGGGGATTCAGACAAAACAGATAGACTGATCAGATTTTCACCATCAGATGCCTATTAGAGAAATTTCATGAATTTAATATCACAGTACATCAACTGTATATGGTCAAAATAAAATACCTATATGAGACTCGGCAGAAGTTTGGCATACCAAAAAAACTGATGACTGATACATATAACATTAAAAAGAGCACAATCAAGGTTCAAGGTGAATATTCAACAGAATTTCAGAATAGATGACGTATAAGACAAGGAGACTCTTGTATGCCATTTAACCTAAAATTGGAGAGAAGCATACATGTTGACACCAAGGAACAATAGGATACTTTCGGAGGGAAACCCCAAGACCCACAACCAATAGGCACTCTCTACAACCAGCCCCTGCTGATAACATTGCACTGCACTGTTGGGGTAAAGTATTAAAGATGTAACAAAAGCATTTATTGAATGATTAAGATGCATCACTACAAGCACTACAAGCAGGACCGGAAGTTAACAACCAAAAAAACACAATTCATAACCAATGTTTCCTCTAAGGTTTGCTGGTTCGTGTGCAAAATCGTACAGTTGTGTGCAAAGCTTTAAAGCATACATTTTTGTGTGAGCAAAATTTTACAGCCCTTAAAAATACACACTTACATGGAAATTTGCTGGCAGATCCTCAAAACTGCTGCGCGGCGTCTGTGAGTTAGCTTCACGGCCGCCCAGCCATGCAGCTTAAAGGGAACATTGTTCATAACTATGTTAAGAGAAGAACAGACTGATGAAACCATTAAAATTAGAAACAACACTTTTGAAAAAGTAAAGCAGTTCAAATACCTAGGATCTATATTAAATGAAAGAAATTAATAACTAACAGAAATAAAAGAAAGAATATTGGCAGAAAACAGGCCTTACTTCAGTAGTCAGATAATACTCACAATTAAAAACTAAACAAGAGAAACAGAAAATGGTGTATAAAACTGTAATCAGACCAGTTGTAACATATGCAAGTAAATCTTGTTCCCTATGAAAAACTTCAGAAAACTTATTAAACACATGGGAGAGAAACGTTCTCCTGAAAATATACAGATCAACAAAGGATTAAAATGGATGGAGAATACGAACCAACAAGTAATATTATAGTTTATATCACTACCTGCAGAAATATGAAAGGCCAGGTTACGCTGGGTGGGACACTTAGAATGAAAAGCAAATGACACAGGATAAAAGAGGAAAAGGCTCAAAGGCAGATCTTGGCTTAGATAGATGGATGATTTGGAGAGGGATCTACAGCAGCTGGGACTCTATGCTTGGGAAAGAAAAGCAACAGTTAGGTCTGAGTGGAAGGAAGTGGTGAGGCAGGCCAAAGTCTTATATGGGCTACAGTAACAGGGATGAATGGATTAATAGTAAAATTCATAAGTTTATAGCATATGTTTTTTTAAAATATTTATCCCTATTCGGAAGTACTGTAGTATGTTATAAATGTTTTATGCATAATTAGGAATTTGAAGATGTTCTTCAGAAGAGAAAAAGTACTGCATTCTAAATATTGCAACATTTATCACAAAAATATTTGGTCAAATAGCACTAAATTAACATTAATATTTTTTTACCTGGTTTAAATTCTGTACCAATGATAGGTAATTTTTTATCAATGAGTGTTGACAGTGGCAAATAAACAGTTCTGTGTTATAAAATAAATAACACCAAAATAGAAAGTGGAAGTTAATGTTAGATGCCATAACTCTGGCTTACATCCAAGATTTTAGATTCAGCAGATTTGTTTTACTCATTAGCTGATACTTCCAACACAAAACATTGTTAAATGTTGCTCATTATGTGGCTCACCTGAAGTACAGAGTTTAATTTGAAGGGTAAAATTTATTTCAACAGCCTCAAAGAACTTGGTGGAAGAGATGAAGCCATCATTAAAGCTGTTCGCTGTTGTGTACTCCAAATAATGAGTAATGAATTTTCCATTGTTTGACTAAATTTTGGTGAAATTAAATTAATAATTGTTTAAAATAAAGAATTTCTAAAGTTTGAATACTTTAATTTTTAATAATTAATGCCTTATTCATTGAAAAATATTTCGGCAAAGGCCTCAGCTGAAGACAAACTTATGCAAAGTTGAAACTGCTGTATTTAATTTAGTTTTAGGGACCTCAAATAAAAAAATCAAACTCTTTATTCTTGATCACATTAAATATTAATCACATTGTAATTAAATGTCACACCCCCCCCCCCCCCCCCCCACCAAACAAGTCCCCCACCCCCCCCCCCCCCCNCTCATGTCTAGGCTAGGACCTATCCCATGCTCATGTCTAGGCTAGGACCTATCCCATGCTCATGTCTAGGCTAGGACCTATCCCATGCTCATGTCTAGGCTAGGACCTATCCCATGCTCATGTCTAGGCTAGGACCTATCCCATGCTCATGTCTAGGCTAGGACCTATCCCATGCTCATGTCTAGGCTAGGACCTATCCCATGCTCATGTCTAGGCTAGGACCTATCCCATGCTCATGTCTAGGCTAGGACCTATCCCATGCTCATCACGAGAGTAGCATTCAACGACAGGGTTGGGAATGTCTTAAACTTCTTTTTAAATTGCCCAAGACCAAGAAACGGATTGTTAGCACTTTAAATTTTGGATAGAAATAGTCTAAACACTGAGCCAGAAAAAGACTTTTTTTTAATGTCATAAATTGGAAAAACTTCGTTACACACTCATTTTTGGCTACTGAAGTGACGTCACATTTCTTTCGCATCCAAACAGATGTCACAAAATGTTTACCCTTCCCCCCCTCCACCCCCCTTTTTTTTCTTCTTCTTTCTTCTATTTTGAAACGTTCAGATTCTCAAAAACAATCGTTTAATTTCTATTATTTTACGGAAATCGAATAAATTTACATGCGCAAAAATTATTATATTTCCACTTTTATTTTAGCAAACATTTAAGTATTATTATTATAAATTACAAATTTTAATATATTTAAAGTAACAACTAAGGAATTATTTTAAGAATTTTATCCGAATGTAAAAGTTATGAAAAAAATTATTAATCAAAATATTATGAGCTAAGCATTGCATCTTAATCACAATAATCGGGTAAACCCAAACATCTGTTATTATTAGTGCGTATTTTAGTGCGTTGTTAATGTTGCGAAATAAAAATAAAATTAATTTGATGGAAATAATTACGCAAATAACGTCATAGTGTGATTGCCTACTTTAGCCACAGCTCTAAGTTTTTAAAAATTATTTGATAACCGTGCGTGACAAAACTTCTAAAAAGTAAAATGAATCCATTTAATAGATGGCTTTTGAAATTGCTAAAATTTTCTTAAATTAAATACAACATAAGCTTTGTTATTAAAAATAAGTTTTTACTTATATTCTTTCAAAAAATATGGCTGCATAGGTAAAACTTTTATGAAATTGATATAGTAGTGAAAAACGTACCCTTTAAATACGCAAATGCCGTTTAATGTAATCAGTGCAGCGAAACTACATAATCCAAGTATCATTCACTAATGCACTTATCACTCATCCAAATAAGAACAAAGCATGCGTAATGCAAAAAAATGTTTTTGCGTAGGTAAGGGGGTTAAAATACCGTGGATGATTGTGAAATTTCTTCAAAACTCTGTTTGGGGTGTGGAAGGGAGGGAGAAGTAATACGATAGTTTCATTTGCCCAAGGCCAAGGCAGCTCACGATACGCCTCAGAATGAATTTGACAAATAATTAACATTCTTAGGTACAAATACATAAAATAGGGTGTGTACAATTTTACGTGGATGGCAATTTCTTTAAATCCAATGATGTTACAATTGGTTAAAATAGATGCTATATTCTCATTTCACCAATTAAGAAAATCAATGACGTTAACAAAACGTAAGTACATTAACACAATTATACACATGAATATCAAAACCTATCATTTTACACAAGCGAAAATTTAATTTTCATAACAGCAATGGGTTAAGACTTTCTTAGATGATAGATAGACAGGCAGACAGATAGATAAGTGGGTGAATAGATAAATAGATAGATATATAGATATATAGATAGATAGATAGATAGATAGATAGATAGATAGATAGGCAGGCAGGCAGGCAGGCAGGCAGGCAGACAGACAGACAGACAGACAGAGAGACAGACAGACAGAGAGACAGACAGACAGACAGACAGACAGATAGACAGACAGACAGACAGACAGACAGATAGATAGATAGATAGATAGATAGATAGATATATAGATAGATAGATAGATAGATAGATAGATAGATAGATAGATAGATAGATAGATAGATAGATAGATAGATAGATAGATAAGACAGACAGACAGACAGACAGACAAATCGACAGGTAGAACGGAAGACAGGCAGACCGAAAGACAGACAGATAGATGATATAGAAGATAGATAGGTAGATAGATGGATG